AACTCCCCTGCTCTGGCACCTTCTGCAGCTTGCACTCACCTGCCAGAGACAACTCCGGGCGCGCCCTCCGCACTCAGAGCCCTGTTCACCTCCCTGGGTGTTGCCCTCCCGCGGCTGCTCTCCATGCCCGCCTCACGTGTTCCTCCGCCGGCTTTCACATCTACCTTCGCAGCTCCCTGGAATGCCCTTCCTGCTTTGCGACCTGGCAAACTCCTACACATCCTTCAAGACCCAGCGCCTATGTTCCCTGCTCTGGGGAACATTGTCCTTCTTCCCAGGTCACAGTGTCCCTATTTGCTGTGTGACCCGGGGCAAGTCCCTCCAGCTGTGAGGTGGAGGTGTGTGTGTGTGTGTGTGTGTGTGTGTGTGTGTGTGTGTGTGAAAATCACCTCCCTGAAAGCCTGTTTTGAGCCCCAAGACAATAAATAAACATTAGATGCTCTTAAAGTACGTTAGACCTTGGGGGAGCAGGGGAGTGTGCATCCAGTCAGTGCTCAATGTGTGTTCATTTTTATCTTCCTCTTCTGGGGTTCTGTGGTTTTAAGACTCTCTTGTTTTAAACATTGTTCCAAGATTTTTCTCCCACTCATGGTGCTAGGAATTTTAAAACCCCTGGTTCTAAAATTATAAAAGTCTGAAATGCTGTGGGCGGGACCAAGGGCCTCCTTGTGCCCTGAGCTGACCCCAGGGTGGCTCAGGAGCCTGGGTCTCTGGGGGGCCTCATGCCCTCCTGCCCCCCTAGGCTGAGGGGTGTGGTCTGGCAGCCCTAGCTGTGGGGAGGGCAATGGGTTTACCACGAGGCTGAAGGCCAGCTTTCCGGCGGAGGTGGGGACTCCTGGCTCGGCTGCTCGAATGGGGTCACAGGCAGCGGCCAGAGGCTCAGGGCTGGCAGCTTAGGGCGATGGCTTTTTTTCTCTTGGAGGCTCAGGGTTGTTTTTTTGTCGTTGTCATTGCTTTTTAAAATATATTTTTATTGACTTCAGAGAGGAAGGGAGAGGGAAAGTGAGATAGAAACATCCATGATGAGAGAGAGTCATTGATCGGCTGCCTCCTGCATACCCTCTACTGGGGACTGAGCCCATAATCCGGGCATGTGCCCTTGACCAGAATCAAACCCGGATCCTTCAGTCCACAGGCCGACGCTCTATCCACTGAGCCAAACTGGTTAGGGCAAGGCTCA